GACGAGAAGTGTGGGCAAAAAATATTGAACTAAAGTTACCAATAAAAGATGGTTTATTTTTATGCGATTATGTATTTCACTATTCTATTTTATTTAACTATTCTATTTTAATCTTCTCCTTTTATTTTATAGTACCATTTTCCAGCAGACATGTGGGAAAAGGAGCGTGTTGATGGAAAGAAGAAATTGAAAGTGCACGCTATACCAACAATATTTGGATGTGCTATCATGCAAATGCAAAATAATAGAGCTTCAGGTATGATGATAAATGAAATATTTGATTTGTTGGGTTATTGTAATGAAAGGTAATATTGTATTTTACAGAGCATAGATCTAATGCGAGGTCTACACAGCACTCACCGATATTAGTATATACAGATCCGTCAAGTAAAGACGTTGTGATATTATCTCAATGTGATGAAACTGGACATTACGAGAGTACAGAGCCTATGCAGGAATCTTTATTGGCACACTTAGCACCATCAAATGAAAATGAAATTAACAATGTACAACAGGAAAATAAGGAAGTGGATGCACAGCACCAAGAGACGTGTACTAATATTCATGCTTCCAGTAAGCAGACTTTTTTATCGGAAGATGTACCTCTGGAGGAAAATGAATGCGATATCATTAGCAACGATGAAAGTGTACATAAACAGGAAGTCGAATTATTAACTGCACAGAAGGAATTCGCAACATCTGCAATTGTTGTATGGCAGAGAAGTACAAAAAACTTGAGAAACTATATTTAAAAAGTGAAAGATCGAGGGTTTTAATGAAAAAAAATCACAACCGATTGCAAGTCATTATGAAGAGGAAAATTATGAAACTGGAAAAAATTGTACGTACGCATGAATCTTCAAACGGACTTAATAATAAACTTTTTAATTCTGATACAAAAAAATTTCTTAAAAATTCAGTATAAAAGAATGCCAAAGTGGTGTGATAGTACTTTAGTTAAAGCGTATCAATTAAAATTTGCATGTGGTACTTCAGGTTATCGAGAATTATTAAGTCAAGGATTTCCACTTCCCTCTTTTAGAACTTTGCATAGAAATTCAGAAAAATGGAAATTTCAAAGCGGACTGTCGACGGAAATTTTCGAGTTTTTACATATAAAAGTTTCACAGTTTAAAAACGACATAGATAAAGGGCTTGTTCGTTTTAGCTACACTGGGGCTGCTCTGGGTCTGCTCTACACAGGATAATACAGGACAGATAAATAGTTTGTCCTGTATTATCTTGTTTAGAGCAAACCCAGAGCTGCCCCAGTGCAACTAAAACGAACAGGCCCAAAGATTGCCTCATTGTTCTTGACGAAGTTAGCATTTCTCCGGGGAAATGGTTTGATACGTCCACGAATACGTACGTAGGTAATGTAACTTTGCCAGGTCATAATAGTAATAATGAAGCGACACATGGCCTAGTATTTATGCTTGCAGGTGTTGCTCAAAGGTGGAAACAAACCGTGGCATATTTTTATTCCGGTAATAGTACAAACGGATCGATTTATAAGTCAATAATTTTAAATATTATTGAGGAAGCTAACAAAATAGGATTGCGTGTTCAAGGTATCGTATCCAATATGGGTGCTCCAAACCAGGCAATGTGGAAATCGTTTAACATTAATGTTTCTCGATATTCGACGGTACAAAATAAATGTGAGCATCCATTAAATGAAGGACGACACCTTTTCTTCTTTCATGATGTTTGCCATGCACTTAAAAATTTAAAAGAAGGCATATTGAATCACGTAAATGTTACTATTTCTGCGGAAATTTGTTGATAAATATAACTTGCCAACAAACACACTAAGTTCGAAACATTTTACGGAACTAATTAATGCGCAGAAAGATTTACAATTGTCATTAGCACCAAAATTGCTAGAAGATTATTTAGATAGGTCCAAACACTTTCTAAAAATGAGGGTGAAAAATGCATACAATGTTTTGAGCCGAGATGTAAGCTCAGCGCTTAACTATTTAGCTGTTGAACATAATCGAGAAGAATACAAGACGACTGCTTGGTTGGTTGCACAAATTGCAAGATGGTTTAAGATAGTTAGTTCACGAAGCCTCACTTTTGCTATTAGCAAACACGACGAAAAAAATATATAGAAACAATAAAGTTTTTGTACGAATTTGTTGATTTAATTTCTTTATTAACTTTTGGTTCAAAAACAGATTTGAAGCCTTTTCAAAAAGGTATTATTATATCGACACTTTCGTGTATTGAACTGTCAAAATACTTGAAGAAGGAAATTATAAATTCGTTTTATGCGATTCACACAGGATTGCATCAAAAACTTGTTTGCGGTTTTTCGTTCAAAACATTGTACATTAAATGCTTTACAATTAAAAAGTAACTTAAAATTAGTAACTATTTCGCAATACATGCGAAAAATCTCTACTAGCAATTATGATGAAGATGATCGTGAATTCTTGCCCGATTTCTTTCAAATTTTGCGAAACATGAAAAAAGACTGTGATAACGAAACGCTCAATAAGCAGCTGCCAGTACTTGACGTGTTACCTAAAGATATAACTTTAAGTAATATTGAAATGAATATTTTATATAATGTCGCCGATTACATTATTACTAGTATTATAAAAACTAGTATTATATAAACTAATAGAGCTTGCAAGCAATGCATCCAATGTCTTGGCAGTCGTAGACAAAAATTAAGGCACTACAGTAAATTAACAATGATGAAATGTTATAAAGAGGATACATTATTTTTTGTTAACAACGTGACATTTGACTTCTTCGTTGAAATGGAGAAAATATTTAGAAGTTATAATAATAGTTCTTTTTCCAGAAGTAACATTAATATACGTAACTTTATGGTTGTTAAATTTAAAGAATGTTCTTACTTTTTACAAAAAGTGCCATAACTTAAAGGATAAAATAGCATCCAGGTTTGCAGGGTTTAGGCTAAAAATTAATTCTAAAAAGACTCGCGTTAATAAAAATTGCACCCAATCCAGCAAAACGATGGCGATGCATCATAATATTAAGTAATGTTATTTCTTTAAGTTTTAATTGTTATGTTTATAAATTGTAATCGTTTGTAATTTCTTTAAGTATTGTCATGTTTATTAAGTGTTATCGTTTGTAATGTTTTATTGCGTAAAAAAGTGCAATTTCCAGTTTTAAAACAATGCATGTTTTATTTATTATATACTTACAAAAACGTAATTAAAAATGTATTTAAATAGAATTACTAAGGCCAGGTTGCACCAACATTAGTTTAGATTTCAACAAGACTTAAATATGTGTATATTTTTATTTTTCTTTATAAATAAATAGACACATATTAAGTCTTGATAAAAATCAAAATAATGTTGGTGTAATCAGGCCTAAATGTATTCTTTTTTTTTTAGAAAAATCATTTATTCATGAATCTATACCAGCCAGTTTGAAATTACCCGAGCTCAATTATGCAGAGTACACATACGAAAGGATCAAAAATGAATTTCATAACTGCAAATAGATGGCAAGTATGAATATATATGTGAATATATTTTCATTTGTAAAATATTTTGTACATAAAAAATAAAACTTTTTAAATAATATTACATTATTTAATGATTTCATGTCCTTTTTTGCATAAAAGTGTAAATAAAATAACAAATATTATAAATAGCAAATAAGTATAGCAAGTATTGTAAATGTCCACTGAACCGTTTTTTCTACACACTTTTGATCTAATTTGACAATATTGCTCCCACAGTGAAGGAATTAAGTTTGATGTTACTTTAATATGTCTAAAGGACATAAAGTAATGTATAAGGACTATATAAATCATTCAAATCTACATTCAACGATTTTAAATTTTCTGCGCGTCGATGAATGTCACGTGGCTTCCGGGAACAAAATCTGGATTGGCACAACTCTACTTATAGGAACTCTACGTGTTTCTGTCCACTAGTGCCTCTATGTGCACAAAACGTGCACATTGAACTACGTAGCTAATGTCCACGAATCTCGTAGGTAATGTCCACGATCTTTTGGGTCTCTTCCGTGCTACGTCCACGACTTTTTGGTTCCGATATGTGCTATATCTACAAAGTGTCCGTAATGCATACTTGTAAAACATGATTATGTATATCAATCAGATTTAAAATATAAATACACACGTATTGTAAATACATGTATTGTAGCATTTTTTTTACATTTACAGTTTATTTAGCAAAAAATCAATTATTTTCAATAACCTGTATAATTTGAAAATGTACATTTAAATTGTTTTAATAAATTACTTCTATAATTTGTGTGTGTGTGTGTGTGTGTGTGTGTGTGTGTGTGTGCGCGCGCGTGCGCGCGCGTGTGTAAATAAAGTATTGCATTTTTGTTAATATTTAAAAAAATGATAAACTCTTATAGATATTTCATACAGTAATGACCAATAACTTATTTTGAATATTAAAAGCCAGGGTTGAGCGTTTACACGTAAACTATAATAGATTAAAAAATACTTGCATATTAAACACGAATGCAAGCTAGACAGTAAAAACAATCTTTTCATCTATAATTTGAGAGGACTATAGTCATGAACCGCCGCAAGCAAGTGTGCAAATTGTGCACCGCACAAAGTTTCATTTAACAATTGAGTTTTAAAATTTAATTCTATATTCTTAACACTACACATACACAAAATTTTGTGTGCTTGTTCTGGAAGACTTTAATTTCTTCTAAAACAAATATTGTATATCAATTAAAAAAACCGTGTCACAAAACTTGAAACTATATTGGTCGGATCGAATACTTGTTTATTTTTTAAAATATGACTACCCTAAAAATAGCTCTTCTTAAAAATTGTGTATTTACCAATTCTTTATAAATCAGATATTGTCAAAAATTATTTTTTATTTTTCTATTGACAAGTCATAGCAAATCAATATTTTTTTCTACAGTTATTAATTTAACATATACAAATATTTTTAATAAATATAAAATATTTTTTAGCTAAAAAAATTATTTAATTATTTATTTAATTGTACATTAGATTGTGCGTCAGAAAAAAATGCAGGAAAAAGAAAAAAAAAAGTTGCAAGATGTAGGTCTCGAACATGGAATCTCTAATATTCAAGCAACTCGCCTTACTCGATTAAAAACGCTTGGCTTCTTAGCATTTATCGTACGTAGCATTTGTCGCAGGCTGGGAAAGTGACACAAAAATAGTATGCTACGCACACGGGCGCGTGCGCACACGGACGCGTGACGTGCGGTTCTCCCTTGTGTAGTGCCCGCATGGTGGGGGCCGTTCCTTTCATGTTGCTCTGTTGCAGGATGCTCGATCTTGCAGCACTGGATGATATACATATACAGGGTGATTCAAAATAACCTGATATCCTTGCAATGCCATATTTTTGAGCGAGTTTTGAGACGATTTTTCCTTTTATAAAATTTTGGCTGAAGCTTAGTTTTCGAGTTATAATTGAAAATAGGTAGCAACTTACGAGTTCGGTACAACGGGCAGGCAGGGACGCACAACGTATAATGAGACTATCAAGTGTTTACTATCGTCTCATGACGCATT